GGTATGGGCTTGGGCGCACTTTGGAGTGTTCCCTAACCTCTTTTGGTCCCGGCCATACCATTGCTTTCCCTTTTCCTCCCTTTGTATTTCGACAATCACACAGAATCCAGGAAACTTCGTTCCAGTCACTTTCTATCGCACCCTTCATTGCGCTCACATTATATTACTCGTACAAGCTCCCTCAATGCCACCCTCAAGTCATCATCAACTATGGCCGCACAAGCACCCTCTACAACTCACGAGTCATCAAGCCAAATCATTTTTCGAATATCCTCAAACGCAAGTCGCGAGTCGTTCCGCGTTTACGGCTCCGGAGCCGGAACAAAAAACAGGTCAATCTCATCCTGGGGATGTCTATTGGGTGGCCATTGCTGTACTGTCGGCAATATGCTTGATTGGATTTTTTTCAGTCATTGCATGGCTGGTGTTGCGAAATCGAATGAACCGTAGTCATTCGGACTGGTACATTGTGACCACAGCAAAGGATCTCCACGTGATAAAGGAGCCGATATTAGCTCCTGTCAGTACTATACCCGCCCAGAAGATAGCCGAAAAGGTCACCGAGTCAAGTACAAATCAGGTCAATCTCGTTACCAGTCATACGGCGCAACATTCTCAAGGTCAAAATATAAACCATTCTGACCTGGTTGTTTATCGTAACGGATCCAGAAATCGTCGAAGAAGCATTGTATCTGACGATATGACGGACAGTTCTGCTTCAACGACCGAATTGAAGATTGACCTGCCCGTAGATGAGCACTCTCATCAACACGCACAACCGACTCCAATCGACTCGTCTGTCAAACATGCACCTAAAATAATCATCGCGCAACGTAACGACTCTCAAGCTGAAGTCCCTCACGTAGCCAACGAACCAAATGAACCAACGAACAATATAGATTTTTTGGTCAGGCTTTACCAGCTCCTCCCTCGACTACCGTCGCAAGCCGTCGTCCCCTCGGCTCATGACCTGCGACCTTCAAGTCTTCGGCGCTCGTGTACAGTCCCAGCCCATTTCAGTGGCGTTTGCCACCTTGACAGGGATAAACCGGCCGGCCTGGTGTCGCCTGGACAAATTTCTACCGACGAGAGGGAGTCTATCACCAGCACGCTCCTTCAAATGCTAATCGAGAGTAAAGACCCCAATGAACCTTACCTTATGGACGAATCACTCCCGCCCCCCTCTATCATCGTATCACCACCCACTGGATCAACCCTCAGTCTTCAAAGGAAGAGCGAAATCTTTTACTGACGATGTTCACTCCGGGTTCACTGGTCCACCACCGATCCCATTCATACCTACAAATACCCATCGGATCTTACTACGACCCAGTTATCTACAACGAAGATAGATTTAGTAAACCCTCGCCTTATGATATGTTTTACGTGTAGGGAGTTGTGTCAAACACGCCCTTGTAGTTTTTATGATCATGTTATTCGACTTTGTATTCAAATACATGTAGAGATTTTGTACAAATCCAAAGGCTTGGACACTGGACTACAAGTGTAACGATAAATGATGAGAATGAATCACGTTGATGCGCGAGTGCAAAGGTAATGGCGCGGTAGCCATTGTCCAGCCGAAGTTCCCTCACCAGGAGCGGAGGAGCTGAATGGTTTCCAGAGACGGTGCACTGGTGGGAGATCTCCTAGTGAAAGCACGCCATATCAGCACTTGAATATTCGGGTCATCCACAAATGTGAATCACGAACCTTCCACGGACCAACACTGGTCACACACGACGCAGGTCTCACTATAGAGTTCCTTATATGAAGACAGAAGATCCTGTGCGTTGTTAATCGACACGAATGGCCTTAAACCACGACGACTGACGATAATGGTAGGAATATCTGCTTCAGGGTGGGACTGCAATACCGATGTCATGAATTGAGATATTTTCACAAATACGGTGAAATCTGATGAACAGTGTGGAAGTTTCTAGAGTGTATGTCATTCAAACAGGTATTTGATGTGGATGCGGGGCTACTCACTTTTTCTCGCACGCCGAATACGGTAACGAGGAGCACTTGATACCCTGGGTTGATGCCAGTTTGTTCTTGAATGTCTAAGTATGCCACAAGAAGGTCCGGAATGGTCAATCGTAGGTATGTAGGTTTCACAAGCTTCACAGTCTCCGAATCTGCCCCGGCAGTTCTCGAGCGTGACCACAACTGAAGACGAATAAGACCTTGTTTATTGACATGCCTTATGTACTCCTCAAGAGACTTGTGGTTGATAGGTCGAGGTTCGGAAGGTACATTTTGGGGAAACGCCGCGGTAGAAGGAATTTCTATGCGATGAATACTGGGCCGCTTTGTATTCAAGTCAGATGCAACAGGGACTTCTAATCTTCTAAATTCGAATAAGCTACCAAAATCACTGAGGAGTACTGAGATGTGGCATACTTTCTCTTTTTAGATAGATTGGCAGGTGCAGGAGGAAGTTTTTGAGCAGCAAAAAACGCATCTTGGGTAGACTGAAGCAATATGATCTGCTCAATAGCATTTACAGCAGCAAAAGCCGCATTGAATCTGGCGGGGATGGAGACCGGTGACTGGGGTTGAAGGCGAGGTTGAAGAGGTCGATTATTGGTTGCAAGAACAGTCGGGAATGTCGATTTTGCGGCCTGTATGCTCGCTAGAACATTCTTAAGGGTGTCTCTTAATTCTGGATTCGAGGTCATGAATCAGTTGCGGTGTCAAAGGAGAGGCTCGGGCAATGTGCTCAGTTGAGCAAAGTTGTTGCTTTGTTGCGTTGACTCAAAATTTGGCGAAGTCCTTTTCCTCCCCTGTGTCAGCCTCGCCCATCGCAACTATGAGCTCCTCAAGCGACGATGAAAAGCCTCTCGTCTCTCTAACTAATGGAAAATCGTCTCACAACCATCTAAATGCTGGCGCCAACCCCCGCAAGGCCAATGGCAAGCGTCGCCTCTCGTCTTCCAGTGCTTTAACGGATGAAGAGCGCCCTCCTGTAAGTTATAGGACTAGTATAAAGAATAATAAGCTGATACGACATGCTATTTGGTAGGAGAAACGCCATAAGACGGCAGCAAATGGCGCCGTCGCGAACGGGCAGAAACAAACTAAAGCTATGAAAGTCGAGGATTCGTCTGATGATGATGTTCCGCTTGCTGTCATGACCACGAAAGTCCCTATGCCTGGTGCCCATGATGCCATGGTCGGTGCCACATCAACCAAGGCGTCCCGCAGAGCAGCTGTGAAATCCTATAAGCAAGAATCCGATGACGAAGACGGAATGCCCCCGAATTCTTCCAATATCAGCCAGGAAGAGGACGACGAAGAGGACGAGTCTAACTCGTCTGACGATGAGCCATTGGTCAAGAAGGCTACCGTCCGGAAAGCGCAATCCAACGGTACCGCAAAACGGCCACAAAAAAAGAGAAAGAAATCGGAAGAGACCAGTGCAGGTGATACAGACACAGAGGTGGAGAAGCCTGCACGTAAACCCAAGGGTCCCCCAAAGAAGAAGGTCAAAAAAGAGGAAGAGGACGTTGAGATGGAGGATGGAACTCAAAGTTCGCCCACGAAGAAGCGTCTACAGAAGAAAGAAAAGGTTAAGAAGGAAGAAGAAGAAGAGGAGGTCTTTAAATGGTGGGAGCAGGATACACCCGACGATGTCGAGGGAGATGGAACGAAAAAATGGGACTCATTACGGCATGCTGGAGTATTGTTCCCTCCTCTATATGTTCCTGTCCCAAAAAGTGTCAAAATTCTCTATGACGGTAACTACCAGCACCTTTTGTCCCCTCTCCAATGCTGACACAGCAATAGGCAAGCCTGTGGATCTTCCGCCTGAATCAGAAGAAGTTGCCAGCTTCTTTGCAGCAATGATCGATACAGACCACGCCCAAAATGCTACTTTCCGCGCCAACTTCTTCAAGGACTGGCAGGAAACTTTGAAAGAGTATCCACCAGTAAGTGTTCATTACGTTGGATTCATCTTCTTATCTGTTTCTAATCGTATTTCAGCGCAATGGCATCAAGATTAAAGAGTTGGATAAAGTAGATTTCCGTCCCATGGCTCTTCATATAGAGACCGAGAAGGCTAAAATAAAGAGGATGACTAAAGAAGAGAAAAAAGCAGCCAAGGAGAAAAAAGAAAAGGATGAGGCACCTTTTGCTACTTGCATGTTAAATGGCCGACCAGAGAAGGTCGGCAACTTCCGTGTTGAACCTCCTGGTCTATTCCGTGGTCGCGGAGAACACCCTAAAAAGGGTTGTGTCAAGGTAGGATGCTCAGCACTATTTGCATACAACTCATCTAACATGTGGTAGAAACGTGTACGTCCAGAAGATATCACGATCAATATTGGCGAAGGCGAGCAGGTCCCAACGCCCGGGATGCCTGGTCAATGGAAGGAAGTCATTCACGACAATACTGTCACTTGGCTCGCGAATTGGAAGGAAAATATCAATGGACAGACCAAATATGTCTTTTTGGCTGCCACGAGCTCCATTAAAGGCAAGAGCGACCGTGATAAGTTCGAGAAGGCGCGTGAACTGAAGGTCAGCAACGCCGGAGATGAGGCTTACCTTTAAATACTGACTCAAATGGTAGAATCATATTGATCGTATACGACAAGACTACCAAGCTGATCTCAAGTCAAAAGTCACGGCGGACAGACAACGTGCTACTGCCATGTACCTCATCGACAAATACGCCCTTCGTGCGGGTAATGAAAAAGGAGAAGATGAGGCAGATACCGTTGGTTGCTGCTCACTTCGTTTGGAGCATATTACTCTGGACAAATCTGGATTAGTCATCTTGGACTTCCTGGGTAAAGACTCCATTCGATATTACAAGGAAATCGACGATATCGACCCTCAAGTGTTCAAAAACCTTCGTCTATTCAAAGCTGGCCCGAAGAAAGACTCCGATTCTCTCTTCGACCGAGTGACTGTGAGTACCTCTTAACTTGTTAAAGGTAAACCCGATCTAATGATATGATAGACAACCTCTCTCAATAATCATCTTCGATCTTATATGAAAGGTCTTACGGCCAAGGTTTTCCGTACCTATAATGCTTCAACCACTTTCGAAAAGGAGCTTCTCGGCTTTGACTTCAAACCTAATGTTTTGCAACAAGAGAAAGTCAATGCTTACAATGCTGCTAATAAAAAGGCAGCCGAACTGTGTAACCATCAAAAGGCTGCATCCAAAAACCATGCAGCGGGGATGGCGAAGATGGCCCTGCATGTGAGTTTCTTATTTCATTTGTGGGAAATCCGACTAAGCCGTATATTGGGAAATAGATTGGCTACTTGAAGCACCAAAGGATGGGCATGAAACGGGAGCTATTCCATCTCGAACCCAAGATGAAGAAGAAGTATTCGGAATGGGCTGAACCCGAGTCTGAACTTGAGGATGAAGAACAAATACAGGAATTTGAAGACCAGTATTATGAAGAGAAGAAGAAAGAATTGACAGAGGGATGGGAACGCTCCAAGAAGACATTGGAAGAGACTGGTGGGACCGCCGAGGAAATTGCCATGCGGAAGGAAAAGGTCGACAAAAAGCTCGAAGAGGTCGAAGCTGATTACAACCTCTGGGTTAAGCACCGTAAAAAAGCTGGCTACTCTTTCAGAGGAAAAGAACCTGATGAGACAAAGGAGTATACTGCGGACCAACTCGTGAAGTTGATCGAGAAGCAGACTGAAATGATCAACAAAACAAAGTTGAAACAAACAGACAAGGAAAACTTGAAGACCATTTCCCTCGGCACCAGGTAAGTGACCATCTACTTCGTCATTTTTTAAAGTTGTTAAACATATTTGCAGCAAAATCAACTATCTTGACCCTCGGTTCGTAAATTCTCAAGTGTTCATATCCATCGTACTGACCAGTATTGCAGTATTACAGCCGCTTATTGTGCCAGACATGATCTCAACATCTCGCTCTTCTTCTCCAAGACCCTCCGCAAGAAGTGTAAGTATTTCTCAACTATGAATAATGTCAACGCAATACTCAACGATACCCCCCTAGTCCCTTGGGCCATGGAAGCGCCAGCAGATTGGAGATTCTAAATCAATCTCTGATATTTTTTGAATTCGCCTTATATCTACCTCTATCCTCCGGTCGCCGTTGGTTTGGAAATGTCGTAATCATTACTTGTTCGAATGATTTGCGTGGAACCCAGTTTAGTCAAGTTATTTATCCTATAAAAGTAGCTCAATAGAAATATTTTCCTCATTAAATCAAGCAGTTTGTGCCACTAGGCTCGTGTTTTCCTAGCTCAATCGAATTACTTGGTAATATCAGGACATAAGTCGGTCACGTCCGTGGTTGGTTTCTTACATATATTGAGACAATTACTGCTTTAGCCACTTCGTCCCTGCCACGTAGGACAATACGTGTACACGATTGACTGAAAGACCTGCAACCCTTATAGGCCACTTTCGACTCACCACATCGTTTATCCTCCCAGTTTCAAACCAGCTTTGCACCGACGCCCTACGCTCTGATATCACAGAAATTCTCCCCGATTCCTGGAACCAAGTTACCATAAATTTCGGCCATTACTTGCCCTGTTGCACTGCCGAGTCACCCCAGACGTAGATGTTTCGCTGGTCGTACGCCGACTTGGTAGCAATAGGAGGATGTCTTGCCACTTTCTGGGCCGTCAAGACATATTTGGAATTTAGAAGACTACGCAAAAGCGTCAATTATGCACCTGGACCAAACATTTTCTTCTCAGCTGCAACGACGATCACCCGTTTGCTACCCAACATCCCTGGGATTAATCGAACAGCCGATTGGTCTTGGAGGCTCAAATATTCCTGTACGTAGAAGTCCTCTGCTTCAGCACAGATGACGGCTCTAATGAGATGACCGTTGGTCGCGACGACTAGCCTTTGGAGACTATGGTCAAGATATCGTCGCCCCTATTACGTTCTATCCTTCCCCCAGGGTATCATTTCATGTGGGTGATGCAGATGCAATCAAGGTAGGATACGGTCGTCTTGTGAACTACAGTTGCTAACGGAAAGATAGGAAATAACGAGCAATCGCGTTTCCTTTCCCAAACCTGTCCACTTCTATAAGATAATCAACCTATTCGGCTCCAATATTTTGTCAACGGAAGGTGATGAGTGGCGCATGCATCGTAAAATTGTTGCCAAATCCTTCACCGAACGAAACAATAAGCTTGTTTGGGAACAGACTATCAGTACCGTCTTGGACTTATTCACGACATGGGAAAGAGATGGCCGGTTAGGAAAAGCTGAAGAGGAAGGTGCATTGAAAGTAAACGATGTAGCAAGTGTCATGAGAGAGCTCACGCTGATGGTTATCAGCGCAGCAGGTAAGTATCCTCACTAATCTGTGACTCCTCTCAGAGCTAACATTATCATATCATAGCCTTCGGAATGAATTTGTCTTGGAAAGACTCGGAATCAGTCCCAGCCGGACACACAATGGCTA